TAATGTCCAATACATGTAATTTCCAATACAGTTTTTCACCGTATAGAGTAGGGGAATTTATCGTTAACCATGTAACAGGTTTTTACTGTAGCATTTTTACAGTCTTTTACCGCTAAATTCACGGTAATTTTTTACAGTGCATTTGTGGTGTTGCTGGTCAAAAATGGCTGGCCTACTAAACATTACGAGGAGACCAGGAGTACGAAACAAAGGGATTTATTCTTGTCACAGGGACACACACGTAGCACGAGGAGAAGACATCAACATGCAATGCCAGACAAAGAAACTCAACATGGGTTGGAACTAAATAGGGCAGATAACGAGGGGCAGACAGGTGCGGAGGATAACTAATAACAAGGAACAGGTGATACTAATAATGTGAAAAGGAACTGGAAGGACCAAATAAGGAAAACAGGAACTCAACGGGAACATACACGTGACACAGATGTGGTTCGATTTTGATTAATGATTTGATTCTGTATTTTACAATCGCATTCATAGGATTATGTAAATTCTTCTAATGTGTCTTAGGTAAGAAAAAGACACTTGAGAACTATCTAATATTTTTTATTGCAAGAAAATGGAAAGTAAACTTTACTCTGCATGTACATTTGTACATGCAGGCCACTTATATAAAAATCTTTAAAAAACAAAAACGAATAAAAATGACAAAAGCACATAACAAAACTACTAAAAAATTAAAAATAAAAGCTAATTCAAAATATTTCTAAATACTATAATTTGGAGAATAAAATGTCAAAATTTGGTTGAAATAAAGTTACATTGTCATTCAGTATAACACAATATTTATGTAAAAATTCAAGCAACATGCTTATTCTGACGTGTACATATTAAATATATAAAAGAATAAGGAATGATATTTATTTTTTGCTCAGAAAAACAAAAACAAAATTGCTATTAAATTAAACAGAATTTTTTTTGGGGGGGGGGAAAACAACAACAATTTAAAGCAATATTACACTTATCGTTTTTATGCTTAAACCCTTTTTCGTCTTTGACCCTCATGCATGTACAGTGTGCATCATTACATAATGTACAGTCCTCATGCACAAAAATCAGTTTTATCCCAAACAAATAGACAATATCAGGCACTAATGTTTGCGTAAGAGTCTGTGTGGAGAGCTTGATGTGAGGTGTCAGGTGGAGAAGTTAAATTGGCAGCCGCTTCAGCAGCACACAGCTGTTTCAGCCTGTTTACACACAATCAGACCTCGGTCTGTCATCAACATCTTTTTACACATCAGGCAAACAGAGGATGAGGACCAAAGCAATATAGAAAAATCTCTGTTTTTTTATGTATGATAACCCTGGCATTATCTTAATATTATATTTTTATATAGACAAATAGATAGATTTAAAGGGGTCATATGATGCTTTTTTTAAAGATCATTATTTTGTGTATTTGGTGTAACAGAATATGCTGACATGCTTTATTGTTCAAAAAACACATTATTTTTCAAATACTGTACATTATTGTAGGTCCTCTATGCCCCGCCTCCCTCAAACGCTTAGTTTTCTACAAAGCCCCCTCCTTTGACAAGCACAGTCTGCTCTGATTGGCCAGCTGACCCAGTGCATTGTGATTGGCCGAACACCACAAGCACTCGTCAGAAATGTAACGCCCCCTTACCATAATCACTAGCTTCATCTTTCAAAATAAATGTAAAGACAGAGCCCGAAAGGGGAACAGAGTCTCGTGACAGACACAGTGATGAAGTTGGTATGTGTTTGCAGTACACTCTTAAAAATAAAGGTGCTTCACGATGCCATAGAAGAACCTTTTTGTCTAAATGGTTCCATAAAGAACCTTTAACATCTGAAGAACCTTTCTATTTGACAAAAGGTTCTTTGGGGCGAAAGAAGGTTCTTCAGATTATAAAATGGTAAGAAAAAGATGGTTCTTTGAAGAACCTTTGACTGAATGGTTCTTTGTGGAACCAAAAATGGTTCTTCTATGGCATCGCTTGAAGAACCTTTTGAAGCACCTTTATTTTTAAGAGTGTACACAAGCCACGCTTAAGACAGCTGACTCCACTGTGATGTGACCTCCCCCCCCCCTCGCTCTCTCTCTCACACACACACGCGTGCACGCACGCACGCACGCACACACACGATGCGCAAAACTCCGCATTTGAACAGGTTACTGAAACCACGCCTTCTTTCTTTGCGTGCACATTTGGGCGGCATTATGCAAATATTTCCACATAGTGAGGTAGATATGTGGGGGCGTGTTAGAACGAGCCGTTTTAGGGGGGCGTGGCAGAGTCTTAACTTTGATAAAGAATATCTCTTTGGTTTTGAGACTTTAGTCTTTGCAACTTCAGGGATCTTATCTATGCACAATCAGCTTGTAACACTCCAAAGAGAAAGGAACACTTGAAATCGCATCATTTGACCCCTTTAAGAATTAAAATTAATTAATTAAAAAAACGATTATATTAAAAAAATTATTCACGTGTGTGTGTAAAATTTATTTTTTAATTAATTTATGTATATATATACAGCTATGGAAAAAATAACACCACTTGAAAATCCAGTAACACTTTAGTATAGGGACCAATTCTCACTATTAACTAGTTGCCTATTATTAACATATTGGTTATTTATTAGTACTTATAAAGTACATATTCTGCATGGCCATATTCTACATTCTAATCCCACCTAAACGTAACAACCATCTTACTAACTATTAATAAGCAGCAAATTAGTAGTTTATTGAGGCAAAAGTCGTAGTTAAAATAATGGACCTTAAAATAAAGTGACCAAAAATGCATAGTTTCTCTGGGTTTATGATTTATAGTTATGTGTTTGAGTGAAACATAATTTTTGTTTTATTCCGTAAACTACTGATGCCATTTCTTCCAAATTTTAAATAAAAATGTTGTAATTTAGACTTAGAGCATGAAATGACAATTGATCCAAATAACAAAAAAGATGCTATGTTTTCAGACATGTTTATATTAATTTTTAGACAACACAATACCAATGTTTTAACTTCAGAAGAGTTAAGCAATCAATATGTGGTGGGGGAAAAAACTATTATTTTCAATCACAGCAAATGAAAACATTTGTTATGTTGACCAATTGTCATTTTCTGCCAAAAAAAGCTCTAAAAGACAATATTTTTATTTGAAATTTGGAAGAAATGTTATTAGAACTTATAGAAAGATTAACATTTCACTCAAATCCATACAGTAAATCGAGAGAAACTGAGAATTTTCAGGTGGTCTCTTAATTTTTTCCA